TCTTTGTCAATAYGTTGGGTTTTACCTTAAATTATATTTTATTAGGGTTTTTATTTTTCCTTTGAGATGGAGTCTTCCATGTTGCCCAGACTGGCCTCAAATTCCTGGGCTCAAGCAATGCTCCTGCCTCAGCCTCCAGAGTAGCTGGGAATACAAGAATATGCCACTGTGCCCAGCTATTATTAGCTATTAAAATTGCTACTGACTTTCTTTGGCTTATATTTGCCTGATATATCTTTTTATTCTATCTTTTCAATCTTTTCCTGTCATTTTAGGTGTGCTCCCTATAGTCTAAGTATTAAGACTAAGAGTTTCTGCTAGATATTTACTGACTTTTTGTATATTATAGTGAATGACATTTTATTTATAATTATTTTAATGCTGTTACATTAAAACTCATTTTTATCATATATTATACTTACCATATGTTTTGTTATTTTTTTCCTTTCTTGGATTTGATTAAAAGGCTTAACTTTCTTCTGCTGGTTTGAAAGATTTTTTTAAAAATCATGGAAAATGGCCAGGCACCGAGGCACACGCCTGTAATCCCAGCAGAGACAAGAGGATCTCGAGTTCAAAGCCAGCCTTAGCAACTTAGTGAGGCTCTAAGCAACTTAGCAAGACCCTGTCTCTAAATAAATATAAAAAAGCAGAGGGGATGAGGCTCAATGGTAAAGTGCCCCTTTTAAAGTGYCCTCAATAAATGGGAGTAAAGAGACAAATCTACCTCACAAAATAATTTCAAGCAAAAAATGAAGAAGAAATCAACAAAATAATACTAGTAATGATTCCCTTAGGTGAGATCCACAGATAAGTGCTAAAATGAGTGAGCAAAGCTCTAAGGAGAGTCAGGATGTTTGGATAGAGTCAAAGTATGTTTTCTAAAACATTATATTAATTACAGTACTGGTTTTAACATATGTTCACAAATTCTTTGATACTTCTCCCTCCRGAATGGGGATCTTAATTACTTGCCTCTTGAGTATAGGTTGCATTAATAATAACAAATAGAATCTGAAAGGGCGTAAATAATAACTTTAGTGGAAAATCCTGACAGACATTGCCTTAACCAAATAAAGAAGATTAATATAATCAATAATAAATCATGTTGACATCAGGTACTTCCTGATACAATGTGCTGGGGAGGACACTTTACCATTATGGTGTTTGTCCCCCAAATCTRTAGCCTGAGTGTAACCATGAGAAGACCTTAGAGAAATGCAAACTGAGAGATATTCTGTGAAACATTTGGTATTCTTCAAAAACCAAGGTCATGAAAAAATAAGGAAAAACTGAGTTACCACTACCAATTGATGAAATCTAAGGAGTCATGATGACTGAGTACATCATGGTATCCTGGAGAGAACTGGGTACAAGTGGACATTAGTGGGAAAACTGGTAAAATCTGAATCAGAACACTGGTTAATAGTGTCATGCCAATGTTAATTTCTTAGTTTTGATAAACAGCCCACAGTTAATAGGCTTTATCATGACAGAAGCTGTGCTACCTATATCACCTTTACAACTATTTCAAAATAAAAACTTAAGGGAGCTGGGTGCAGTGGCATGTGCTTATAATCCCAGCAACTGGGGAGGCTGAGACAGGAGGATTGGGAGTTCAAAGCCAGCCTCAGCAACGGCAAGGTGCTTAATAGCTCAGTGAGACCCTGTCTCTAAATAAAATATAAAACAGGGCTGGGGATGTRGCTCAGTGGTTGAGTGCCCTTGAGTTCAATCCCTGGTACCAAAAACAAACAAAAAAACAAATAATAAAAAACTTAAGGGGCAGGGATGTCACTCAGTAGTAGAGTGTGTGCTTAGCATGCACCAGGCTTTGGGTTCTGTCCCCAGCACCACACCTATATACACACCAAGACAAAGCTGGCCAGGTGTGATGGCATAGAGCTGTAATTCCAGCTACTCAGGAGGCTGAGGCAGGAGGATCACAAGTTAAAATCAGCCTAGACAACTTGGTAAGACCCTGTCTCAAAACATAAAATAAAAAGGACTGAGGGTGTGGCTYATTGATCCCTTGGGTTCAATCTTCCGTACACCCTCCTCCCACTAAAAAACCTTTAAAATACATATATTAATGATTCATATAAGTAGAAGAGAGATTATCGGGCAATGAGAGATTATCAGGAYTGCAGAGACAAAGAAAAGCTTTTGAAATGAAAAAAGAATCTTTCAATAAAATACCAATTAGGCACAGATGAAGAGAGAATTGAGGAATTAGTAGTTAACAGACTATCAATAGCAAAACACTGAGAACTGAATAGAAGGAAAACACAAAGGAGGCAATAATTAAGGTGTGTGTGTGTGTGTGTGTGTGTGTGTGTGTGTATAATTAGATCCTCAAAATGCAGAATAGAGAGAATAGAAAACAAAATATTTAAAGAGATAATGGCTATGAAAAAATGTAAACTAGTGAAAAACATGATATTAGAAGTTTCATAACAATCATGTATATCAAGCAGGATATATAAAAAGAAATTCATGATAAATCCACAAGATGCAGGCAACATCTCAGTAAAATTGAGAAACGAAAGACAAAGATAAGATCTTAAAGCCAGCCAGAGAGAAAGGACAGCTCATTTACRGGAGACAGATAATTAGACACAGGCTGCTTAGCAGCAGGAACAGGAGATGAAAGTATGATCTTGTCAATGCTGATGGGAAATAGCTGTCTGCCTGGAATTATGAACCTGTGAGACAGACTTTCAGAATTGAGGGGGATGAGAAACGGGAGTTTACCATCAAGAAATCTGCACTAAAGGAAGGAAACAGTGAGCTCAGAAGAGCATTGGAAGACACAAGATAAAGGAGGGAATGCTGAGTAAGAAATGGAAATAATGTATATAAAGAAAATAAACATTGTCTTTTAAAATAACAACAGTATTTGCATAGACGGTAGCAAATTGCTTTACCAATTTACCATGCAACATAAGAAAGCATCCATCACAAAAAGAAAAAAAGAAAGAAACTATTCTTAACYCCAGCTCAAGGGCTGGGTATGTAGCTCAGTGGTAGMGTGCTATGCCCAGTTGTGTGTGAGCGCCTGGGTTTAATTCCCAGTTACCACTATAAAAAAAAAGTACCCATCTCCCTGGTAACTAATTATYAGACTATAATTTTTATAGACCAGTAGGTGAAATGGTATCACAGTGAGCTTCTGTATGAATCTGTGGATGCAGTCTTTCTTTCCTAATGTTTTTATCTTTGTCTTTGATATGGTATCTTTTGCCATAGTGAATTTGTTTACCTAATTTCCTCCTTTTCTTTTAAGGAATATGGGTACTGTGCTAGAATTAGCCATGCYTTTCTAGCTCCAAAACTATTTTTTWWAAATTCTTTCATTGCTTCATTTGTATTTTGTGGTTTCACTTTTTAACATTTGCATATTTGGTCCACATGGGAATTATTTTGCTGTAAAGTATGAGGTATTGATGACCATCCTGTTTTATTCAGACAGCTTATGTAACAGTTTTATAATTGATTTATTAGGTTTTCTCCACTGATTTGAAATTTCAACTTTATCATATACTAAGTTCCTTTGTATTTGAATCTATTTCTGTATTTTCTAATATATTCCATTGAGTTGTCTATTCCTATGCTAGTACCACTCTGGTTTACTTATTATAGCTCTATTAGATCTTTGGTAAACCTGTTCCCCCTCTCATTTGTCCTGAATATTCTTATTTGTTTGGTTGCCAAAACATCCTGTTATTTCTATTGAACTCTTGTTAAATTCATACATTAACTTAGAGTAAATGGACTTTTTTGTGGTACTGAGGACTGAACCCCTGCTAGGCAAGTGATCTACCACTGAACTTCACCATAAGTTTGTACTTTTTGTTTTGAGATAGGATCTCTCCAAATTGCCCGGGCTGGGCTTGAACTTGGAATCCTCCTGCCTCAGCCTCCCTAGTAGCTGGGATTATAGGTRTGCACCACCGTGCCCCACTTGGGTACATGAACTTTCTCAAAATGTGATATGACTGAGGGTGGGGGGGACAATCTGTAGAGATATAAAAATATATATCTGTAGAGATAGCCATATCATTTTCTCTTTTATGTATTAATATGATAATATATCAATTTCCCAGTATATACTTATATTTTTGGCACGTAACTTTTAAAAAAAATCTCTGAGTGAATATTATGCTAAGCAAAATAAGCCAATCCCACAAAACCAAAGGCCAAATGTTTTCTCTAATATGTGGATGCTAATTCACCATAAGGCGGGGAGGTGGGGGGAGTGGACGGGGGAGTGGACTAGGGAAGAATACTGTTACTTTAGATTARGTAGAGGGAAGTGATGGGAGGGGAGGGGAGGAGATGTGGGGATAGGAAAGATAGTATGAAACAGACATTACTGTATGTACCTATGTGACTACATGACCAATATAATTCTACAACATGTACACTTAGAAAAATGAGAAATTATATCCCTTCTATGTATGATATATCAAAGTGCATAAATGTATTCTACTTTCATRTATAACTAATTAAAACAAATTAAAAAAATTTTAGGGCTGGGGATGTGGCTCAAGCCATAGCGCGCTCGCCTGGCATGCGTGTGGCCCAGGTTCCATCCTCAGCACCACATACAAACAAAGATATTGTGTCTGCCGAAAACTGAAAAATAAATATTGAAATTCTCTCTCTCTCTCTAAAACAAAAATTGCAGCTGAGTGGCACCTTATCCCCCAACCTAAAGGGTCAGCTGCAAGTTTCAAAAAAAAAATTTTTAAATCTGTGAATTATTTTTTTCTAAACAATAACCACTGTATCTCAGCCCTTCTCTCTGAAAAGAACATTAAATAAGTGCCCAAATATGTAAGTGTTGCTCATGAAGMGCTCCCATCCCCTAAAACATCCAAGTTACACACAGAAATTCCAGGCCCTTTGCTGGAGAGGTTCAGGCAAAGCACCCAAAGGAACCCCCTCACAACTAATGTGGGGTTTGCTGAGCTTCAGATCAAACAGGGGCTCTTTACCTGTGGACCCACTTGGACCGAGAGCTGCAGGGCCTGAGGCCTCACCCAGCCTTCCAGCAGTCACTCCTACTCCCAGGGTCACCAGTCAATTCTGTTAATGATCTGAGATCTTTCTGATGTTTCTCAACTTCTTTCACAATGCTGGGGGCCTCAAATCAGCTCTGCCTGGGGGACAAGAAGCAAGGAACAAAAGGTCAGGCTCACCTGACCATGGTGTGTCCTCAGAGTTTCCTGGGCTCAGCAAAGAAATTTCTATCACTGTCCAACAGGAGGCCTACACTTCTGCAATCWGATCCTTGGGATCACCAGCCTCTGTCCTTCAATTYTTTTTTCTTTTCTTTTCTTCTTTTTCCTTTTTTTGTACCAGGGATTAAATCGGGGGTGGGGGCACTTAACGACTGAGTCACTTCCCAGAACTTTTTTGTATTTTATTTAGAGATAGGGTCTCACTGAGTTGCTAAGGGCCTCACTAAATTGCTGAGGCTGGCTTTGAACTAGAGATCCTTCTGCCTCAGCCTCCCCAGCCACTGGGATTATAGGCACTCRCCAATGCACCCGGCTCTGTTCTTTAGTTCTGAGATGGTCTTTCTAGCTCTTTCCTCTCTGCACACACGGGCCCTTGACTCCAAACCTCTGGCAGCAAGTCCCACTAACTACTGGGAGGATTCCAAGGCTTTGGCCACCCTCACCATGGACACAGGCCTGGCCTCTGAGCTGCAGAGTTCTAATGGCTGGTCAGGAGCCCCAGCCAAAGAACCCATTGCATAGATCAGTGTTTAGCTGTGATAAAGCTGAAAAGAAACATCTCAAGGCAGGAGACACTCTCAATATTAGATAGAATCATATGATCATATGAAATTGCCAATAACTTGCTGGTTTTGATCTACAAAAAATAAAAAGAAGGTAGAGCAGCCACAGAATCAATCTGTGGTGCCACCCAGTGGTCAGAGCAGAAAAGCAGCTGATTTCATTCATGATAACTGTGGTGACAAAAGAGTAACTGATTCCTGCAGCTCCCACTACTTGCACAGATAATTAAATGTTATTATTGTGTTTATGGTAATAGTTCTGTACAGGTATACAATACAGATATCCTGAGGTAACAGGCAGGCACTATTATTATCTCTATTTTAGATGAGAAAAATGAGGCTCCAGGGATGTAAGGGAGCCTCTGCTGTGACAGCCAGCACAGCCAGCATGAGAGGTGGCTGAAAAGCACCYAGACAGAACATCCCTTCTTCCCTCTAACTCCCAAAGTCACCAAGTCCTGTGGCTTCTACTTACTGAATTTCCCAGAATTTGTTTTAAATATGTAAACAAGGTACAACAATCAAAGTTTTAAAAAGATAACCAGAGAAAATTTCCTGCTATGGTTTGAATATGGTTTATCCCCTTTGAAAACTCATGTTCAAGTTTAATCCCCATGATAAGGCATTAAGGGGTGTAAGTTTAATCTGACTGTGGTGCTTAGAGGTGGGGTCTTGGGAAGTAGTTAGGGTTAGATACAGTGAGCAGTGTGGAACCTCTATGATTAAATATTGGTGGCTTTATAAGAAGTGGGCAGAAGCAGAAGCAGTGGTGTGCATCCATCTATAGTCGCTGCTACTTGGGAGGCTGAGGCACGATGATTATTTGAGATCAGGAGTTAGAGGGAAACATAATAGGACCCAATCTCAGGAAAAGGAGTACAAAGAAAAACCAAGAACAGGGCTGGGGCTGTAGCTGAGTGGTAGAGCACTCACATCACATATGTGAGGCAATGGGTTTGATCCTCAGCACCATATAAAAATAAATGAATAAATAAAGATATTATGTCCATCTACAACTAAAAAATATTTTTTTAAAAAAAGAAGAAAAATCAAGAACAAGAAGAGGGACAGAGACTAGAGAATATGGACACAAGTACTCCCTGATTTTCACCACAAGATCCTCTGTGCCTCCTGGAGATTCTGCCAGCAGAAAACTATCATCAGATGCAGCCCATCAACCTCAAACCAGACTGTGAACCAAAGGAAACTTCTTTTCTTCATAACTTACCTAGCCTGTGGTWTTGTGCTATTAGCAACAAACTGGACAAACACAGTTCTCTACCTGTTATTGTCTCTCAATTACACTATCAAGACAGCTTCTTTGGAACAGGGCATGGTAGCACATACCTATAATTCAATGACTTATATTGAATTCTGTCTGTGGCAGAATTGCAATGTCAAGGCCAGCCTCAGCAATTTAGTAAGGTCCTAAGCAATTTAGTGAGGCCCTATCTAAAAAAAAAAAAAAAAAAAAAGGAAAAAGAAAAACAAGGGCTGTGGATGTGGCTCCATAGTTAAGTGCCATTGGGTTCAATCCCCCCATGCAAAAAGAAAAAAAGAAAAGAAAAGAAAAGAAAGACAGCATCCTTAGCTAGACATGGAGACACATGCCTGTAATCCCAGCTACTTGGGAGGTTGAGGCAGGAGGATCTCAAATTCGAGGCCAGCCTGGGTGACTTAGCRGAATTCTGTCTCAAAATAAAAAAATAAAAAGGGTTGGGATGTAGTTCAGTGGTAGAGTGCCTCTGGGTTCAAGTCCCAGTACCTCCCCAAAAGAAATAGAGCCTCCTCACTGATGCCTCCATTCTGACCTCCTCTAATCCCTCCTTTGCAACCAGCATGAACTATCTAAACTGCAAATCTAACTATAATTCTGACAAAAACATTTCAGCAGCCCCCATCACTCCCAGGATAAAGTACAYACTCCTGAGTGGGGTAGGGCCTCATCCATCCAAGTTGCTTGCTTCTAGCCCACATTTCCCCCAATCCCTCCACACCCAGACCATTCAACCCACAAACAAAACTGCCATTGGACCTCTTCCTGGATTAACTGGTGCCCCTTCCTAGATGTCCAGAGGCCTTCCTGCCTACCTCTAGACTAAACACAGTGGGTTTTTGGTAATGGTACGAAAATAAATCAAAGGGGAAAGGTAGTTTTTTTCAACAATTGGTTCAGGAAAATGAATATCCATATGGGGGAAAATGAGTCTTGATCCTTACCTCAAACCATACATAAAAGTTAATTCAAACGTATCAGAGACTTGAACGAAAAGCAAAAAGTGCTTCAATTCTAGGAGAAAATATTAAGGTAAAGAGGATTCTTAAGACAAAAAGTATGAGCCAGCAAGGAAAAGTTTTAATAAATTGAATGCTGTCACAACTAGAAATTTGGTTCTTTGAAAGATTCCATAAAGATRTGAAGCCAAACCACAGGCTGCCATGGACTTTCATGCACCGCTGGTGATGATGTAAAATAGTGGACTTGCTTTGAAAAACAATTTCACAGCTTCCTATAAAATTAAAAACAGACTCACCACACAACCAGCCAGCCCATCCACTTCTAGGTACTTACCCAAGAGAAATGAAAACATAAGTCCAYACAAAAGCTTTTATGGAATGTGTAAGTCCATTTTATTCACAATATCCCTCAACTAGAAAGAATCCAAGGGTCCTTTTTGGGGTTTTKAGAGGGTGTCTTCTCTGAACCTTTGAAGGGTTCAGAGCCCAGCGTCTGAAGTGTTCAAATGGATAAACAACTTGTGGTGTCCCCAAACAATGGCAAACTACTCACCAATGACAAGAAGAGATCTACTGACATCCACTCCAGTGACTATGAGAAACTTAATGTTGTCCCAGGGTGGCTTGGCCACCTCTGACAGTGCACAMCTGTTTCCCCCCTCCCCCCAGTTCCTCAATACAGTCAATCCAGATATCTTGTCCTCTCTGCTGTAACCACTTCCTGGTAGCCCCCTACTGACAAGACAGAGAGATACAAGCTACAGGGTKCATCCCACGAACCCCACACCCTCCATGGACTGCATAGATCTGCCATAGTGACTGCTCCAAAGTCCCAGCCCAGAACCTAAGTCTGCTGGCTCTGAACAAACTAAGTAGAAGCCCTCTTAGAACACCTGCTGGGGTAACTAACACCTTGGATCTCAATAAAGGCTCCTGCCCACAGATCCATCCCTCTCTGCTTCCCAGCTGCTGGCTGAGTACAAGGCCCCCATGAGCTACCTAACCTCCTCATCAGCACCCTTCTCCTCTCATGGTTTATAAGTAATATACAACTTCTCTTATTCCATGGGCTATGTGTTGCATTGCCTCCTCTGTCTGGCCTTACTGCAGTAACACCCCAGAACCTTCTTCTCTGGCCAGGACTCTCATAGAGCCATCTACCTTGGAATAAACTGGACACAGGTCAGACACGGGTCACCTGTCAGACACTTAAGCATTAGGCCATCTCCGAGAGTACAGAAGTATCTAGTGGAAAACACACTATGGACACTCAAGACCAAATTCCCTGGAACCACTGTCCTGAGGGGGAGTTCAAGAACAAGTCAGAGGAAAATACAACACACACACAACCACATGGGTGAATCTCAAAAGCATTGTGCTAAAGTAAAAAGAAAGGGGGGCCGATATCACACACAAAAGAGCACATACTGATTGGTCCTATTTATATGGAATTGTCAGAGGGGCAGACCGAGGAATAAAAATCAGAGTGGTTGACTGGAGCCCAGGTAAAGAGGGATGAAGGACTGACTGCAAAAGAGCAGGGGGGGCTGTTTTGGGGATGGAAATGCGCTTTTCCAACTGGGGCACCGACTAGTCTGGTGTTTTCATCAGTCAAAGGTTATAGGACTGTATACAATACTAACAATTTAGGGTATTTAYTTTATATAAATAATAGCTCAATAAAGTAGTTCCTTGGTTTTGTTTGCATTTTTTTTAATGTGAGCGTCGCTGTGAAGCATTAAGGAGAGCATAAGTGGAAGGATTTTGCTTTTAAGCTTCCAAAAACATGATTTGGAAGGAAAGGCGGTTGGCGGACTCTCCTCCCTGGGGCACCCGGGAAGTTGGTGGAACGTTCTCTCGCCAGGGGGCAGCGTCGTACCGCGCCGGCCACACGCCCCTCCGGTCCGGGGCGGGGACCCAGAGGAACCCGGGAGGCGACCCGCCGCGGCCTAGCACTCCGAGCTCCGCCCAGGAGCCGCGGGTCTGGGTGCTGGCAGTGGCAGAGGAGCGAGGAGCGGCGGCTGCTGGAGGACGGCGGATTGCAGGCCGAGCTCTCCGCGCAGCGCTCCCGGGGCAGGGGCTCAGGTTCCATCACCACGCAGCCCCCAGACTCACAGGGGACTCCCGGAGAAGAGTGACACCACACACCCCTTGTTGCTGAGCTACCCAGAGTCGGTCACCTATCCCCSACCTGCGCCACTCGGAAATGGGCAGAAAAACTCGGGATTTTCCAGAATGAAATCCGCGGCAGCGAGCCGCCCCCGGAGTACGCAGCGCCCGGGGTGAACCGAACGTGCTCGGCGACGCCACTTCCCCCATGACGTGCAGTGGCGCCCATCTCCTCGCGTACCCTCCACGCAGTCAAGCAGGTCATCTTGTCCTAGGACACCCCCGCCCAGGGGAGCCGTGATTGCGGTTCCCCCCGCCCCCCATCCTGGGGCTTGAACCCACGGCCTCACTAAGGCTAGGGAAGGGCTTTACCACCGAGCTACACCCCCAGCTCAGGGATGGTCTACCCTACTACGATCGAGAAATGTCACCGTGTAACTGTCCTCGTGCTAAAGGGCTGCTCACCAGGCGTTGCTCGCCCAGGAGGAGCTGCTAGCAGAAAGAGCCTGAAGGCCGGCGGATCCGATCGGTCACCGGCGGCGTGCAGCCTGCGGCCTGAAGGACTCAGGGCTTCCCCCATGATTCCCCACTGTGACCCTCGCTCGCGGCAGGATCGTGGGGGAAGGCACACTAGGGGCCCCGCCCGTGCGCTCCTTCCCATCCCTCTCTGCCGGGTCTGGAGCACTGCGAGATTTGCCTTATTCCCTGGTGGCTGTGGTGAGGCCAGGCCGCCTACCCCCCGCCCCGCCCTCTGTCCTGTCGCAGCCCGGCTGCCGCGCCTGGGGTGCAGGCTCTCGCCCTCCCGCCGGACGCCACCAGCGCGGCAGGTGTGGCCCAGAGGCAGCGCGCGGGTGAGTTGGCCCCAGCCTCTCCCAAATAGCTGATGGGGGTAGCGGGGGGGGGGGGGAGACAAGAAGGCCAGCAGTTGTGTCCACTTGTATCTTTGCTAGTAGTGCTAGAGCCCGAGAAGGAAGGCAGAGGAGCCATGGAAGCCCGCGTTCTCGCTGGCAGCTTTCCCCAAGCCAGGGTCCGCAGGCTCTGAGCATTGCCCCGCCCGAATTTAGGGAAGAGGGGGCTCGAGGTGCCATTTTCTCAGAAAAGGAAGCTGTGGGTTACACTCCACCTGAGAGCACTGGCCCTGGGCCCAGACAGAAACCTGGGCTTGAGTCTTCTCCTGCGACTGGATTCAGCTTGGGAAGATGGTGTTCTAGGTGGTTCCATAACCTTACAGAGTCTCCATGTATAAAATAGGGGCATAAAGATGCCTCACTGGGTTCCCATGAAGTTGAAACCAAAAGATACTGCTATTTGCTGAATGTGAAACCTGGGTCCACAATTTTATCTGGGAAGAATATCAGCTTCCTGTGTTGGGGACTACTCTTCAGGCCAGGTCTGTCCCCCGAGTGACGGGATGTCCTCCTGGCCCAGGAGCTGTATGGGGGCATGGAGAAAAATAAAGAAAGGCAGATCTACCGAGACCTTCCTTATTGATGGCATGGGGGYATCCTCCTGGGGCATACTGGGTGACAGGGACAGTTGCTGCTTTCCTTAAAGAGGACATTCCTCACTGTTTTTGCTCAGATGTCATTACTCTCACCTTTGCCTCAGAAAACTGGCAACCACTATTAAAATCATTAACACTTGAAATCTTCCTGTTGCAGAGCAGTGTCCCCATTTGTAAACTAGTACTTCAAGGTCTTTGAGGGTTAAATGATGTACCCCAGTTAATGGAGATACTTGCTCTCTTCCACTCTCCTTGATGTGTGCTTAATACTGCATTGCATTCTCCATCAATCAGAGGATAAATGTAGGCCCATTAGCCAGAGGAAGAAAGCAGCCCACCCCAGATCTTCCCATGCTTTCAGGGTGGAGCACCTTGCAGAGTTTACTACAGCCTCACTGAGGTCAAGGTGAGAATGAAGTGCCACACTAAACAGGAGAGGGAATTTTGGAGAGCCACTCACTGTCTGCCCCTGGGATGGACCCCGAAGATTGAAACAAGATCTTGGCCTTCAAGGATATTGTCCTTGAGCATATGGGTGGGAGAAGCAGTATTTGGTTGTTGTGCAGCATCCCCCCCAGGGGTTCTCTCCCTCAGTCTTAAAACCTGCTCCAAAAGCCGCTCTGAGTAGGGACAGAAATATTTTAGGAACCGCCATCCTCTCTGTAAGCAACTACCCAGGAACTTTGTCAGGAAGTTTGAATTTGAAAGTAGGGATCTTCCTTGGAATGAGCTGCATGCGATCGCAGTCCCAGAGCAGATACCACACATTAGGCTCCTGAGAAACCTGGAGCAGCAGTAGCCAGCGCGGGTCCTCTGACTCATGAGCAGGAGGACAAACGTCTGTTTACCCACGTCTGCCCCGAGCAGTCTCATCCTTCTTTCCTTCTCTCGCCCCAAGGATGTGACTTCTTTCCCCGGCCTCCTCCCGCGACCGGCACGTGGTTCCCTCTTGGCTGCACTCCAGCCACGGACGTGGCTCTCACTGCTGCCTGCCCTACACCTTCCCCAGTCTCCGTGTGGCTGCCACCCCACAGTCCAATCTCCGTGCCCCTTTATTCTTAAGTCTTATCTCCCTTGCCCTCTGGGAGACCCACAGCCAGAGTCTTCGGGAAAAGCAGGATTTGGACTCGGGCATATCTGTTTGCTCACTGTTCAGTAAATGAGCAGACTCKCGTTCTAATTGGGTTTAGGTGAATCTGCCCCCCTTGATTACCAGGCAAGAGATGGCTGGAAGGACTGCCCCTCCAGCCTGGCCTTTGGCTTGGAGAGCTGCTGAGAGGGCAGCTGTGGGGGAGGGGGGCTAGAGAACTCTAGCACTTGTGATGGTCAGTGACCCCCACATCACCAACCCCTTGGGGGAACTTCCTATTCTTGATAAAAGGGCCACAGTGGGCCCATCCAGGATTGGACCCGAGGGGTTGAGACTCATCCCAGTGGATCCCAGCCCTGGGGGACCTCGGCCAGGCAGGGCAGTGACCAGACAACTGTCAGTGTATGGTGCAGTGCAGAACGTCATATGGAGTTCTTTGGAAGGCGAGTTAGAGAGCCTTCTCAGGGGTCCCACCAGTTGAAGCAAAATGGATAATGAGAGCAACTACTTGTTATGTCTGCATTTCCCCCACCCCCTGCCCTTTTCATTCCACAACAGCCCGGAAGTAGGCAACTCATTTTACAGAGKAGATATAAGTTGGGGTTAAGATATTACTCTCACCACCAGCATGTGACAGAGCAGAGACTTGAAACCTAGGTTGCTTGATCCCCAGCTGGTCTTAACCTTCATGTTATCAGTAGCATAACAAGAAAAGGAAACAACACTAGCAAAGAAGTTGAGTGAGAAATGGTACTGAACAGAGAAGGGGCTACAGAAGAAGTTCCACTGGTAACTAAGTAGGAGTGGAGACTGGAGAGGACAGGGGGCTGTGGAGGATCTTGAAAGCCATCAACAGGACTTTGGACATGGTCCCGAGGGTGTGGGGTCTGCCCCCTCCCATCCAGAGATTTTGTACAGAGCATAATTGGCTCTTTCTGGCTGCAGGCAGGAAGATGGATGGAATGGAGAGGGAGAGTGGAGGTTTGGGCGCAGTCTGCTTTGGAACTTGCTTCTCAATGTATTTCTCCATGTGCACACAGAGAAACTGATTCCTGCTGTAAGACACACCAGGTAGTAAAGGAGGGGGTTGTGTTCAACTACAGGCAACCACCCTGAGACTCCAGCCATCTGAAGTCCTGCACAGTCACCAGTAGGGGTGAGGAATTCCAGGCAAYATGTACCCCAGTTATGACATCTTAGACTAGATGGATGAGTGACAATGGATGGAGACTAAAAGCTGGATTCAATGAATGATTAAAAGCAAAGTTGGTGTTGCATAGTGAAGGGAGAGGGAAGATAATTCCTGGGATGGGGGACTGAAGAACTGTACAAACTATATTTCTCTCACTGCTGCAGGGAGCAGGTGCAGAAGCCTAACAGGCAGTGGAGTCAAACAAATTGGGTCCAATGCTTTGTTTCACTAACTTACTAGTTCTGTTACCTTGGGGGGGTACCTATTAATTATTGTACAAGATAGGGTAATCATAGGGTTATACAGTCATTGTAAGAATATAATGAGATAATGAGCAGGGCACAGTGGTGTGTGTGCCTGTAGTCTCAACTACTCAGGAGGCCGTGGCCAGAGGATTAGTTTAGTCCAAGAGTTTGAGGCCATTCTGGGCAAGGTAGCAGTACCCTATCTCTTGAGACGGGGTGGGGGACAAAGAAGGGAAATGTGTCTAATAAATGGCAATGCTATTATTAGAAATTGAAACCATGCGAATAAATGAAATGGTTTAAAAAGGGTGTGTATGGTGAGAAGTGACATTTGAGGAGTGGACAGAGGAAAAGAAGCTTAAGATCAAATGGACAGAGAAAGAGAAGGAAAGCCAAGAGCACCTGATGCCTTGGATGCCACATGTAGAAGCCACACAGTTGGTTGATCCACCTCACTTCCATCTTCCTAACAAAGCCAGAGGTCAGAGCAAGTGTCCTCCTCTCAAGGGTGCCTTGGAGGAAGCAGCCCACAATCCCAGTGCTGACCCTCAAGGCAAGTTGTCAACAGCAATCCCATTTCCCTTGTAGGAAGCAGCCCACAATCCCAGTGCTGACCCTCAAGGCAAGTTGTCAACAGCAATCCCATTTCCCTTGCAAGTAACTGGCTTAAGAAGATGTAGTTGATACAGTTCTGTGTGGAAGAACTTGGTAGAATGTCTGCTAGGGGACTTCAGAAAATATTTCCTTGATTTTTTTTTTTCTCTTTCACCAGTACTGGGGATGAAACGCAGGGCCTCATACATGCAAAGCAAGTGCTTCACCCCTAAACTATATCCCTAGTTCTTTATTTTGAGATGCCCAGGTCAGCCTCCAACTTGCAATCCTCTTKCCTCAGCCTTTTGAGTCATCCAGATTTCAGGTGTGCTCCACTGCACCTGGCCAAGATTTCCTTGATCTTAAAAGGTGTGTGTGCAATCAAAACCACAATAAGATAACACTTCTCAGCCACTAGAATGGCTAGACTAAAAAGCTGATGATAACAAATGTTGGTCAGAGTATGGAGAAATCAAAACTCACACATAGTTTTGTTGGGAATATAAAATAGTACAGCAACTTTACAAAACAATCTAGCAACCAGGCACAGTGGCACATGCCTGTAATCCCAGTGGCTCTGGAGGACAAGGCAGGAGGATGGAAAGTTCAAGACCAACCTCAGCAATTTAGCAAGGCCCTAAGCAACTTAGCAAGACCGTGTCTCAAAATAAAAAATAAAAGAGGGCTGGGGAATGGGGCTCAGTTGTAAAGCACCCTGTATTCAATCCCCAGTATTAAAAAAAAAAATCTGGCAGTTTCCTCAAACAATTAGACACAGAGTTACCATATAACCTCCACTCTTAGGTATCTATTGAGAGAAATGAAAACATATCCACACAGAAACTTGTTATACAAATATTTATAGCACATGCATGTGATCCCAGCAATTTGGGGAGATGAGGCAGGAAGATCACAAGTTCAAGGCCAGCCTCAGCAATTTAGCAAGTCCTTAGCAACTGAGCAAGATCCTGTCTCAAAATAAAAAAGAAAAAGGGCTGGGGGTGTGGCTCAGTGGTTGAGGGCCCCTGGATTCGATCCCCAGTAACACCCCCCCAAAAAAAGAAAGAAAGTAATCCAAATGTTCATAGCAAGATTATTCATATTAGCCAAAAATTAAAACAATTCAAATGTTAATCAATAGATGAATGGATAGACAAAATGTGGCACTGTGTGTGTGTGTGTGTGTATAATATATTGTATACACATACACTGGAATATTATTTGGC